ATTTTACCCACAAAAATAATTTACAAAAATAAGCACCAAAACACATTATCCTTTCTTTCACACACACCACTTCTTATGTTACAATTTTCTTTCGGGTTCTTTAATGAATGACTTGGTTAATTAATGCCAAACACTGCCAAACTTTGTTTCTGTGGTACCAAACATTATACTAAAAGACCTCCTAACATCATTAACAATGTGCTAAATTTCACAAGCGTTGAAAGGTAAATCTATTTTATTCATCAAAACCATGATTTTTTTTAAGAATTGAATTTCAAATTTAATTCAAGTAAAATTTGTAAACATTTATATACTATGAAATCTTTTATTTCTAGTCAATGTAACATCTCTAACCTCACGCTAAAAAAAAAAACACACACATATATATATATATATATATATATATATATATATATATATATATATATATATATATATATACATATATACATATATATATACATATATACATATGTATACATATATACATATATATATTTAGCGTGAGGTTAGAGATGTTACATTGACTAGAAATAAAAGATTTCATAGTATATAAATGTTTACAAATTTTACTTGAATTAAATTTGAAATTCAATTCTTAAAAAAAATCATGGTTTTGATGAATAAAATAGATTTACCTTTCAACGCTTGTGAAATTTAGCACATTGTTAATGATGTTAGGAGGTCTTTTAGTATAATGTTTGGTACCACAGAAACAAAGTTTGGCAGTGTTTGGCATTAATTAACCAAGTCATTCATTAAAGAACCCGAAAGAAAATTGTAACATAAGAAGTGGTGTGTGTGAAAGAAAGGATAATGTGTTTTGGTGCTTATTTTTGTAAATTATTTTTGTGGGTAAAATTGCAGATAAGGGAACCTATTGAAGGTGTTGAATGTGGGAAGAAAAGTTTGATGAATTTTTAGGCATACGTACGCGACATATTGATAACAACATAGCTTCCATTATATATAATAATAGTGCCTTTTAACAATTCAATTCTAATAAAAGCCTCAAGCTTTGAATGTGGTATGTGGTATGTGTATGTGAGAGTCAAAAACTGGCAGAAACTTGTGTTACGTGATGAGATGTGACTTGTTTAGTTTAGTATATAATAATATATCTTGAAGCTATAATTTTAATGCCAAATAGCACTTCAAGATTAGCAAAACGACGCATGTTAATTCATGCTAATTGAGGAATGTTGGATCCTTTGGGAGGGTTAAGAAATTTAGTTGCAACTTTTAATGAANCAATAATATTTATTATTATGATAAAAAATTAGTGAAAAAAAAAAACACACACACATATATATATATATATATATATATATATATATATATATATATATATATTATTTATAGGTTTAATCATTTTTTGAAATTTCTAATTTTGTTGAGAATTTCTGAGTTATTTTTTTATCTCAATTAGATCCTTATTTTTGAAAAATTAAAGCAATTAGGTGCTTGCCATTAGTTTCGACACCGTTAAAGGAGGTGGCACGTGTCAGTTCCTGATTTTTTTTGAATGTTTTAATTATTTTTTATTTTATTTTATTTTTTAATTTTTATTTATTTTTAATTTTTTTAAATAAAATTTTTAAAAATTACACGTGTCAAACTGATATTGTGCCACGTGGCAAGGATAGTGTGACATGGTACTGGTACTAGAAGTACCATGTGTCATTGTCAGGTCATGTGTCATTGCATTAGTCTCAATTTGGTGCCTGTAATTTTATTGCGTCTCAATTTAAACTATGTATCTTTATTTTGTCTCAATTTAGTCTTAATTTTAAAAATTAAACAATTTTGTCCTTCTTCAAATCCAAAAAAAAAATGTGTATAAATCTTAACAAATATTTTTATTAAAGTTGATATTTTTATTAAATATTTTTAACAAGATTAAGTTTAACAAAATTGTATATAAATCTTAAGAAATGATATTTTTGGCCTTACATCATAATGTGCCCTTTTATTTTCCTTAGCAATCTATTATGAAAAAACCTCTAGTTTGGTCTTTCCATTTTCAATCTTGGTTGGTTGATAGGGACCATTGATGACAGACATCCCACACACCCTTGTCTACTGATTCCAAAAAGATTTTCATCCTAATTTTCTAATAGGGATAGTTCTCACCAACAAACAGTGTTGGCCTGTTTTTGGAGGCCCCTTCACCAAAGGTTTGATACCAATTGTTAAAAATGTAGCCTTTATATCTCAAGCCAGGAGCGATGGGGAATGGGGCTTGTGGGGTGTGAATTGGGTTTTAAAAACTTTCACAATTTCTTTCAAATCTTTAATCTTGAAATCTCATAACAAAGGTATTTGAATCAAGCAAGAATGAAAGACAAGAATCAAGATAACCACACACTAAGATTTATACTGGTTCAGTTCTTTGAATGAGCCTACATCTAGTCCTCCTTCAACAACCTTAGTTGAAGGAAAATCCACTAATAAAGAATTTTAGTCAAGAATACAAAATATCAAACTCAATTTGTATCCTCACCAACACTCAAATACAAATCAAACTAACTAAGAGAGGATCACAATATTGTCCTCAACCTTGTCTTCCCAGCAAAGGTTACAAGTTAACAACAATACATATGGAATCTGAAAGCACACTCAATAGTGCAGATATTACAAATATTGTAGAATTTTTTATGCTTTAGAGAGTTCCTTGTAATCTCCTTCACAAATCTTACTTGAAACCTCCAAGAAACGGTTTTGCCTTGTGCTTGTACTCAAACTCAAACAATTGTTAGTATATTGCAAAATGAATTTCGTGTTGAGTCAAGTTTTAAAACTGATTTGTATAGAAAATCACATTCTTTTGCAGTTTAATCGATTAGGTTAAAACGTGAATCGATTTGGAAATTTTTTTTGTTTTAATCAATTAGGTTACTAATGTAATTGATTAAAATACCTAGTTATGCTTTGTTTTGCTTCTTCTGTCTTATTTTAACATATTAGATTACTAATATAATCAATTAGGTTAAAGTTTGTTTTAATTTATTAGGGTACTAATGTAATCGATTAAAACAGACAGTTTTGTCCAGTTTTGTTTCATAAGAATTATGACTTACTTTAACATATTAAATTACTAACTTAATCAATTAATACTACCAGAATTATGCAAATTTGAACTATTTAAGCCAATTTCACTTATAAACACATGATATATGCATCTTATTGTTCTCCTATGATTTTAAGCAATTGTTCTATCAAAGTTATTGTGTAAGAGAGAACTTATTAATCAACTCATAGTCAAAAAACCTTTCATCAACTTGTGGAGACCAAAGTTCCCTTTCAATATCCTAGACTACTTGGTCCAAAATTATTCATATTCTAAAAACTTCATATTGACACAAGATGGTCCAAAAGAGAGAGAGTCTAGACTCATATTTCACAAAACGACTTCAACATTTCTTAAAAGTGTTTGACCATAATTAGAGGATATATCATAAACGATAGACTATGAACTATAATAGTGATTTTCAGACATATGAAAACACGACGAACCAAGAATGAGACTATTGTTGTTTGACAAAGGAGCACACAATAGAAAATGGAGACAGAATCGAAAACTCATCGTTCCAAGAAGAGATAGGCAGTGGTGTTTGCCAAAGATAAGCAACTAAGAGGCTGTGGTGTTCCACGATTTCGTCGCAACTGAGCAACTTTTGATTTAATGAACGCATAAAAAAACAATGAAATTATAATTTCTTTTCTAGCTCAAACATAAAAATATATTTTTTTAAAAAAATAAATGAATTACGGGTTAAGTGAACTCAACCTCACTTGAATATGCATAACCTATTAGTTGAATGAATCCAACCCATTTCCCCTTATAATTAAAAAAAAATTCAATTTCTCAATCAACCCGATTCAAATCCTCCGAATTAACAAACTAATTCTGACTTATTATCATTACATACATGGAACGAGATCTATTATCATATCTCACTGTATACTATTATTTGACATTATATACGATTAAAAATAAATATAAGTTGCGACAGTCGGTGAGTATTATTTTGATTAATTGAGTGTATATATATATATATATATATCTTTCTGATAAATATTTTAGCTTAAATTTTTTTTTGTATACTTTTCAACTCGTGTTTCTTTTCTTCTTTTATTCATTCTCTATATCAAGTTTTTGATTCATGCATTTACTTTTCCATGATTTTACATTGCTTTTTTAATTTATGTTTCTCACGTTTACATTTCAAGTACTTTTTTATCTTTTTGACCACTTTACTAAATATCTGACCTCTTTCTCTTTCTAACATGATTTCTTAAAGTTTTGCATTTACAATCTAAGCTCTTGTTACATTCTAACGATATTTTTTTCCCTTTGCATTTTGTTAATTTTAACCTTTATTCTGTACAATTTTGAATTAATCTGATTTAATATTTTTAGGGTTAAATATGTTTTTCGTCCCTTTAAGTATCACACGATTTTGGTTTTAGTCCCTACTCGAAACTTTGATGGTTTTTATTTCTCGTAGTTTTGAAACTATTAGTATTAGTCCTTAAAAATGGACGGCGTTAAGTTTTAGTAGATGTGGCAAACAATGATGCCCAGCTGCGCTCTGCACTCTCTGCCACGTTGCTGGCCAATAAGAATCTGACACTCACGTGGTCATTCTCGTTCTTCCTCCCTCACCTGATGACGGCGAAGATCTAGGTTTTCGCTACACTGCTCCCCCGCCTCTATCTCTCTCCAGGAACTCTGCTAAGTCCACTACAACTCTCAGATCGCCAGACCCCGTCCCGTTATCGCTCTCGTTCAAAGGTCCCTTTTGACCTTTCTTTCGCCCTTTTCTTCCCTTCTTCCTGTGCATCCCAGTTCACACCCGTCTCTTTCTTTGCCAAACGAATCACAAATGCAAGTGCTTTAATTACTATTATTATTATAGTTAGATAGATAGATATTTTAACTTTTTTAAAGCTCCTCGTGATTTTCATCTTTTAAGCGTGTTCGACCCTCTCCGACCATGGGAATTTGCTATTCCACCACCAAAGTCAGCGGCTCCAATGGCAACATCGTCACCGATAAGAAAAATCGCAAGCGAACCGTGAAGCCCGAATCTCCGACGGCGGGGGCCAATCCCGAACGGTGCAAGGCAAGTGCGCGGCAGGTGCCATGCGGAAAGCGCACTGATTTCGGTTACGACAAAAATTTTGATACGCGATACACGCTGGGCAAATTGTTGGGACACGGCCAATTCGGTTACACCTACGAAGGAATCAACAAAGCTAATGCTGATCGTGTTGCCGTTAAGAGGATCGATAAGAGTAAGGTATTTTCGTTCATGTCATCGTCGTTTAAGTCATGACTCTTACGATTACGAATGAAAATTGATTGGAATTTAGTGCTTTTGATTCTTTGTTGTATGTAATGTTAGGAATTGATTTTTGATTTTTTGATTCTTGAATTTAATGGCAGATGGTTCAGCCTATAGCTGTTGAGGATGTTAAGCGAGATGTTTAGCAGAATCGGACCGCGACAGGAGATGGCGATCAGAGAGTTGTAGTGGACTTAGCAGAGTTCCTGGAGAGAGATAGAGGCGGGGGAGCAGTGTAGCGAAAACCTACATCTTCGCCGTCGTCAGGTGAGGGAGGAAGAACGAGAATGGCCACGTGAGTGTCAGATTCTTATTGGCCAGCAACGTGGCAGAGAGTGTAGAGCGCAGCTGGGCATCGTCGTTTGTCACATCTACTAAAACTTAACGCCATCCATTTTTAAGGACTAATACTAATAGTTTCAAAACTACGAGGATTAAAAACCATCAAAGTTTCGAATAGGGACTAAAACCAAAATCGTGTGATACTTAAGGGAGGAAAAACATATTTAACACATATTTTTATTCAAAGCAGTTGACTATGCATGATAAGCCTTTTAAATGTGGAAATTGCTGATATATCAATGTCTCATCATGAAGATTTGAATGAACTGATCTTGAGATTCGATTTGCATCTTATGTACTTTGTGATTGCCACATTAATTGGACTAATAATTTATAATTAAATTTTTTAACCTCATCTTAGTAGATAAAGTAATCAACTCTTCATCATAATTTGAATTACTCAACCACATCGCATTCAATTCAGTTATTTGTTCTTATTTCTTCTAATCATAGTATTCACTTTTTTTTCTCACATTTATCAAGTGTGCCTAAATACTTTTGAAACAAAAAATGTCACTCATTTAACACTTCGTCTCTAATGGTATTGGAGGAAGGACCATTTCGATAAACAGATATATAACCATATGAATCAACATATGCTTTAAATTAATAAGGTCTCTATTTAGTGTTTACCTATTAATTAACCTTTTCTACATTATATTTTAATTTAATTTCTTTGTATTGAACACTTTGCAAAACTCAATTGACACTAGTAAAAAATCACGTTTTAAACTCGGACATTATGACTCGGTTTTTATGGAACCGAGGTATATCAAAAGGCGGTGGCAGTCTCGTAATTTTAAAAACATTATATGCCTCGGTTGTTAGGCAACCGGTGTCTAAAGAAGATACTGATTCGGTTCCAAGAGTGAACCGAAACCTAATCCTCGCATATCAAAGATACTGCCTCGGTTGGAAGATAGAACCGAGGCATATTGGGCTTGTGTGCGCGCCTTATATCCAGAGCCAGAAATTTTGGGCCCGAAAATTCTCCTCCTCTTCCCCTCTTCTCTTCCTCTTCTCTTCTCTTCTCCTGCGATACCCCACCTCTTCTTCTCTTCCTCTTCTCCTGCAACGTGCGACGACGGTGGACGGAGCGAGGACGCGGCGGTGGCGGCGAGGACGCGACGGCGAGGACGCAGCGGTGACGGAGGGAGGTGACGGTGGGCAGAGTTGCGCTCATAGAGGGAGCGACGGGCAGATCTGGGCGCGACGAAAGGAGATCTGGCTGTCGGAGGGCAGATCTGGCTGTCGGAGGGCAGATCTGGGCGTCGACGGTTGAGGTGGCGCGACGAAGCTGAATCACGCCGTTGGTGGTAGTCGGAACTGCATGGTCTGTGGCAGATCTGTGGGGGAGATGCTTCTGGCTCTGTTTCACCGAAAAGGAAGAAATTTGGGTATGCCCTATGCTTTGTCACACGCATTTTGCTTCTCTGGTTTTTGAGATTGATGACACTGTATTGCTGATTGAGTATGGACCGCCATTTGTGAGACGCATTTTGCTTTTCTGGCTTTGAACACTGTGTTGCTGAAATTGGTTTGGGAGCTGAAATTGGAAGAAATTTTGGGAGAATGACAGTGTTGCTGAAATTGGTTTGGGAGCTGAAATTGGTTTGGGAGCTGAAATTGGAAGAAATTTTGGGAGAATTATTGGGATTGTTTGGCATCAGAGAATGAATGAACCGAGAATGAATGAACCAAACCATGAACGAATGAAACCATGAACGAATGAACGAGAGTCTGGATAATGAAAAAAAAAAATACACTCTACTGCCTCGGTTATTTAAGAACCGAGGCATATTCCTGTCTCATTTTATCCCGGACTATAACCGAAGCATAAAGTTTAACCTTTTTACCTCGTCCAGATATACCTCGGTTGTAGAACCGATGCCTATAAACATAAACAACCGAGGTCGTTTCTGTTTATTGTAGTAGTGTGATTACACTGTAATTGAAAATACAAAAATATAATGTGTAATATATCACTATAAATTAACCACTAATTTAGACATGAAAAATAGTTAGCATCGACTAAGTTAAATACTAGTTTATAAACTAAAAATTATTTATATCTAAAATCATTTTTGTTATTAATAAAAATTTCTCTACCAAAAAAATTATATTTTATAGATAGATATTTATTGCGACGGTCTAAGATCTGTCGATAAATTTAAATTACCAACGGAATACCAACAAAACATATCTTAATATCACTTCGAATCTTTCCAAAATACCACACATTTGTCTCAATCCAACTTTTGTAAGAATGCAACAATATCTTCCGAGACGGACAACATAATGTTATGTGCCAATGAAAGAAAGAAAAGAGGAATTAGGGTTTTCGTGTTTTAAGAATTTAGGATTTTAGGGATTACTAGCCATATGAATGGAGTGAAGGATTACTTACCACATCAACAGACTTTATGAATGTCACTATCAACGTAGGAAGAACGAATTAGGTCATCACCATTATTGAAAAACTCTATGACTAAACGCGACATAATGGTGAGTGAGATGAGAGAGTGAGGATAAACAATGTTAAAATTTAGCAGTGAACGACGACAAGGGAGAGTTTTCGTGAATTCTATTCAACATCACGAAGGTAATAGTGATGGTTAAGTCAAGTTTGAGAAGTGATAAAATTAAGTATAGTCTAAGAGTGGGAAAACAACATTTTTATTTTTTTTAATATTTAATTTTGTTGATATGTATGTAAAACCTTCCTCCACCTCCTTCCACCTCCCATCACCTTTCTCCACCTCCCACCATCTTCCTAAACATCGAATAACTTCAAAAACACTATTTAAATCACTTATAGTGATTTTATATTTTCAAGAATATTTTATTTCTTCTTTAAGTTAATAATCCTTCTATAAATCATTGAAAAATCTTCAATTATCATGCTAGGATTGTCTATAGACTTATTAGACCATCTTTCATTATATCCTTTATACATGATTTATAAGCTTGTTCGTGCTTCAACTACACAAAACACAAGTTAGAATTGAATTGTTTTAGAAGAAAATTAAGATTAAGAATTCCAAATTTGCTAGAATATATATATATATATATATAT